GCCTTCGTTTCTTAACGTCGCCAACAATCTCGTCACCGTAATCACGGCGAATTAACCTCCCTCCGGGTTAACCCACTTTTCCGTTGGCCTTTCTGCTTTGTTCGCGTCGCGTTGCCTCTATTCTCGAGCGTCGAAGCGCAAAGAGCACCCGTGGCCTTCCAGCGACGAGTACACGTGCAGGTACGCGAGCGCGCAGTCAACTTGCCTCGCGGTAATTTCGACCAACTCGCTTCCTAAAGCTTCGGGGCTAAATGAAGTCCAGAAGAAGCCGGCACCTATCCAAAAAGGTGGTCGCTCCACCTTTTAAACCGAAACTTTCGCGAATTCTTTCTCCATTCGGGTAATAGAGTTAAGCCGAATATTTCGATTCGACGCTTCGAAACGGATGGTTGTCCTAATTTGTGTCTTGTAAATCTCTCACACTGGCTTTCACGGATGATGCGTTATCGGAATTCTGACTAGATATCGAAAGGCCGTCGAAACTGTTGTATCCGTCAGGCGGATCCGATAGTTACGTTTTCGGGGCAATAACGATTTATCGAACGAACTTAATAAACTTACGTCTAGTTATGTGAAGCATGAGGCTCGTTGGCCCAGTTGCTCGATTAGAGCTGTCGCAAATAACTGTCTCGAATACCCTCGTGAATACGTATCGTTTATCACGAGTCAAGATTCATGGCCCGCCGCGAAATTACGACTCCCTTATCGTGGACCCGTCGATAACCAGTTTTCAAGAATCGCCCTTAAACATCCCTCGAAATTGTTGGACTCTTAACGATTCCGCCGACGTCCTATCGAAGCTTCTCTGTATTTCTCCACGGTCGCAGTATTTCCGAGGTAAACCGACTTGGCAGACGGGTAATACGAGGCATCTTTCACCATAAAGCGGTGCCACGTTGTGTGCCGCTCGCCCGGGACAAATATGTCTACGGAATAGTGCCGAGCTCCAATTCCACGTGGAATGCCGCTATTTATGTTGCTTTACTCACGATCCGTTTGCTTCTTCTTCCTCTCGCTTTCCTTGCGACCAAAGTAATTCTCGCGGAACTGGTTTTAACCGAGGAAATTTGCAAAATGCGATGTCTCCAGAACTTACGTTTCATTAATCTTAAAGTAATGGACTCGTCATTCGACTTTCGACAACCGTTGCTTTTCTACTCGGTTGATATTCCGAACGTTCACCGTCGTTGTAAAGAGTCGAATTAACTCTTTTTCGATGAGACGAGAATTTTGAAGACGTTTAGTTCAAAATCCCGTGAGGACGATAAACTGCATTACAGTGGGCGGAACAAGAAGTCGTAAAACTAACTGGACGGCTGTATAGACGAACCAAAAGTGAAAGCTCAGCGAAAGCTCGTTGAAACGAGCTTCGAGGAAGCATGACGCCAGCATCGGATATTCCATTTGGCCCGAACGCTTTAATATCGCGGTTCCGATTCGAGCTAAAAACTTCAGGCGCGACCAAGACGATGACGAATTGCGCTCGCTGAAAATTTAATTGGTCAGCGCGCAATTGGGTCTCCGGTAACTCAAAAATCGACGCAATTTAACTGGCCATCCTTTCCCGGCACCGACAGCTCGACGTTTCTCAATTTCGTAGCAACTGTTTCGAGCAAGATATATCGCGCTTCGTTTGGCCGATACAACTGTAGAGCCTTGTTCCCGTCGAACCTCATTCGTACCTATCAAACATGGACCCCTGCTTCAAGATCGCCGGTTCCGATCGAGCAGTCGTTCACCGTATTTCAACGATAAATTGCTAGAATTCACGCTACACCGGTTGACGTTTTCGTTTCGTTCCTTCTACGTAATTACAAGTGTCCGGAGAGCGCCGGCAAAAAACGCGGAGGATAAGGTTGATGAAGTATACATATTAATCCCCGGTTCCCTGGACGAGAAGAAATCGTGACCATGCTGGTAAACGTGTACGTCGCGGACGAAATGAAAAGGGTTAATTTATCGCGAAACAGCCAAATTCGTAAAATACCTGCGTCCATTTCGTGGAATATAGAGCTTGAACGGGTTAACGTCGACGAATACGATTTGTCTCTAAAACGAAACCGTGGGCTCGTAATAGGGTACGTTGTCCCGGTAGAAACAACGAATACGCTGTATTTACAGCCCAATTCGCGAGAACAGCATCGGTTTCGTAGCCCTGTCGTGTAAAACACCCTCCAACATCGATCCCGCCCAAGCACTTTCACGAACTTTCCCACGAGGCTCTCGTACTTACGCGTCCAACGATACTCCAAATATACGATGCTAGTTTACGAAGCTGAAAGAACGGATATGCTACTTTCATTAATCCAGAAACAAGCGGAATCCAAGTTTAATTTCGCTAACAATGCGATATTGTTACGGACGATACGGTAAAACGTAAGAAGGTGAATTGTTTAGTAAACGGGACACGAGTCCATTGTCTCCGTAAAATAAGCGACGTCGAGGATTGAAGATCGAATCGCAGAGATGTCCCATATAGTGCGTGAATCGGCTCTCGATAATTTTCCAATTTCGCCAGTGAATGGAAATGAAACGCTAAAGGTTTCAATTCTCTTACCTATTGAGGACGGAAATGAAATCGTTTGTAAACCCTCTTATTTTACAGATTGAAGCGTTTTTCAATAACTCCCGATCTAGAACGTGCGTTATTCCCTGACGCATTCACGTGTATTAGAATGAATTCAATTATACCACATACAGACTTACATTCTTATAAAGATTCCTCTTCCTTTCTTCGATTAAATATGAAGGAGAAAACATTTTATCATTCTGGACGAAAAACAATTCCGACAAGCAAAATTAGCTTTGCAAAATTAACTTTGTGCACACGTAATAAAGTTGTATCAGCTTAATTACAATATATAATTCTTTCATCGTCACTAGGCAGTTCCATAAATCATAACGCAATTACCTGTGCACGGAATTCTATATATTTTATTTCTTTGTGCACGAATTAAACCAAAGCGAAAAAAACATCGAAAGTATATTTCCTTCATTACCGTTTAGGGTAGACCGATTTGTACCTTCTCCCCGTTTCGTCACGCAATCAGCTTGACAATTTTATCGCGAATACAAGGTGGACACGCGTGTCGGTGTACAAGGCCCGTTGGTTGGCGACACGAGATTTCGCCGGTCACATGCATCCAGGGTTTAATGTCTACCGGAACATGTACCGAATATGCACGAGATCGCTATCGTCGAGATTTACTGCGAAATCTTGAGTAACCGTTAAGTTTTACGATTTAATTCGATCGTCGAAATGAAACCCGTAATCGCGTATGAAATCTGTAACGTAATTACGATGCTGAATGAAATTGAGTGCAAAGGAGTCCTTAAAAAGGAAGATTACGAAAACAACGTTGCTATTCGCTGTTCCAGAACGGATGCTGAAAGAATAGGACAACGCTTCTCTGTGAGAATTACCCTATTACGTGTGCATGCTCGCCTAGATGGGGGCGCTCATTCTTCTTTGAAGAAATTGCGAACTTTCTCGAACACCTCTGCCCTCCGTCGCCTCTCGAGCCTTCTCTCATTTTCTGTGTCAGTACTTCTCTCTTCCGGTCCCTTTCGCTATCTCCAAAGAAACTTGACTAAAGTCCCGCGACCGGAGCTTCCTTTCGACTCACGCAATTTGCACCAGTAACTATTGTTTGGAAAACAGGGAACGATAAAAACCTGTCCTTGGTAAATTAGAAGTTATGTCCGTAAAAGTCAGCGCAGAAATTGTGGCCGTTCGAGGGAGAATTCGAGACTCGATTCGATCGGGGAGAATCGGGGAGATTGCATTAGGGCGCGATTAAAAGATCAAGGAAATTGCGCCGCGGCTGATAGATTACTAGGGATTCCCAGTTATATACGAGCTATTGCGATAACCGGTGGCGAACGAAATTGAAAATCTATCCGCAGCGGGTCGGAACGAAGTTCGGAACGTCCGAACGCAACGCGACTCATTTGTCACGCGCGAACAGATTACCAAAATGTGGGACCGCAGCGGCGGCGGTGTATCGACATTTTCTCTCGTTATTTGTCGCCGCGGCATCGTGGTTACGTTCGGCAAAACGATTTCCGCGAGATAAAATGTTCACGCAACACGAGGAACGAGCAAGCAAACGTGTCCAGTTTTATGGATCGAAACGTAGTCCGAAAGAAATCACGTACCCGCAGCGCTTTACCGCAGTAGCGTTTCAATTTACCAGCCGTTAAAAGAGTTTCGGTGCTTTTATCGCTAAAGTTCTGGGCAGGTAGAAAATAAGACGAGAGAGCGAAGAACGAAGTTAGAGGACAGTCGGGGTCAAAGGAAAAGGAGACAGGCTGAAGAATACGCGGTACCGTGCCGTGACGAGGCACGAGACTTACAAAGGTTAGCTCGTTAAATTAACTCTTCGTTGTGCTAATTGCCGGTCGGATCTCCCGAATCATCGCGAACCGTCGTTCGTTTGATACCCATGCGGATCGTTAATAACGACGGGAAGCGACCGAGCTGCGAACAAGCGCGGTTTCGCGTTCGATAGTCTTATCGATTAATCGTGTCTAGAGCCGCTCTCAGAAGCTCGTTTCGCGGCTACAATAACGCTCGAGTCCGAAGTTATCCAGCCCCCTGGAGGATCTCGATATTTCTCCGGCCGAATTTGCGGTTAAATTAATCCGTTTTAACAGGATTCCAAGGCAAGATAACGCTGCCTCTTGTAACAAGGTTCGCCGGTGGCGCGTTAAAGCCCTCGCGCAAAGTTTCGAGACTTTCGAGAGATGGATAACACGCGAGGTGAACGCGCGCGTTTATCGCTCGAATTTCGCAACTTTTCTTTCGACTTTCCTCGAATAACTTTTCTCTCGAGCCTCGTTTGTTGCGCGACGATCGCACGCTGTTTTACGTCCAATTTCCTACCTCATCGTTTATCCATCGAGCGTGAAGAACAAATCGGCGATATCGCCTTGCGATTATCGTTCCTCCGTTCAGAAAACGAGTGGGTGTCGTGAGTAAATTACCCGTCCAATCAGCTTTACGATTAATGTTTTATTGAATGTATATTTAGAATGCATTATTTACATTGATTCCATTTATTCCGACAACTAACGCGGTCGTCGCGAATGGATCTCACGCATTCGCCGCGATCGACGCTTCTCGAAAGAACGAAATAAAACGGGGGTCTCGACGCGATCAATTCGGGAAATCAGCCGTTTCGCTTCGAGTCCCCGTTTCAAACTTACTATCTGTGTATACATACATATGCGCATACCGCGCAACGAACATAACGTATACGCGTACACTGATTATACGTACAATTCACGTACCAAGAAAATAGTTTTCACTCGTCGTCACACCGGAAAGATACTAACTCGAAGAGTCACTGTCCTCTCACGAAGAGGTCCTATTACCAAGAGTGAAACGCGCGAGGTGTTAGATCAATTCCAGAAGGAAGGATAATTCGACCGCGCCCAAAAAGATCGCGAGAGGAGGATTCTGGCGTTACGATCGATATTCCTCGGAAAGTCCCGGTTACACTAAAACGATCGATTCGTTTTCACGCACCACGAGAGCGCTCTCCGTCGGATCGGCGTTACAGCTGGAAAGACGAGTCCCGAAGATCCGAGCGACCATTGGCGGACTCGTCCTTGCGGAAGAAGATGAACCGGGCTGCGGTGGCGCGGGCACGAACACCAACCATTCCCGTAAGTTCTACGGCGATTCACGTCGGATAAAGGCTGGTGAAACTCGGTATCCTCCAGCTGGCGGCCGCCAAGAGGGACACTAGAAAGTTGCTGGCCAAAATTGCTGGGCTAAGGTTCCTTCTGTCGCCTCCGTGCATGGCGGCCGGTTTCTCCTCCTCTGAAACAAGATTAGAAACTCTTATTCGATATCCGGATCCTTCTGGAGAGGGAGAAATAAAGAGTTTCATAGAGCAGGGGTAAAATACCCTCGAGGGCGACTACGACGCTTTAAACGAACACGACTGGACATTGGTCTTTCGCGCAACGTTCCACGCTGGTAGTCCGATCACGTAGCTAACGATCACGTCGAAAGTCTCGCGCGAGAAGATGCTCCCGTCAAATCTTACCCTCGAATTTCTATCGTCACGTCCATGTTTCCTCGCGATATTTCGTTCTCTTTCACGTTGAAAATGATTTTCGGGACTGATTGATTCCCTACCTTCGATCACGTGCACCATCACGTACGCCGACTTGGCGTTGCTCGGCGCGCAGGTGTAGTTCCCGCCGTGTGACGGCTTCGTTTTGTTGACCATTAAAATCGATCCACTCTTCGTGAGCTCGACTTTCACGCCTGGCTCCTCATCGTAATTGATCATGTGACCCTGGCGGTACCAGAAGACGTACACGGGCGACTCCGCGGCCGCCATCAGTTGACACTCCAGCCGAAGGCTGGAGCCCTGTTTCACGTGCAAATCGGGCGCACCGGGTATGATCGAGTACGCTTCCGTAATTTTCAAGTGCACGAAGTTACGCTGCACCGGATGCGACGTAACCTGAAATTTTCACCGACTAATTAATTGGAGGAGGGAAGGAGGAAGAGTTCGAGGAGGAAAGTTGTGAGCAAGATACAAATATGGCAAACGACTTTGCAAATAAAGAGGATCTTTTGTCAAGACCGATGGTGCAGGATTCTTGTACAGAGTCCCTTATTATGGGAACGCGTGTACCTTCTTTTGTGTACGCGAGAAAAGAATCGCATAAAAGTCAGAGTAACGTAGTACCGTAAATTTAGAGGACGAGCACTGTTTTACGGTCAAACAAATGCAAACGATGCTATAACGTCGGGGTGGAACGTAGCCACGACAATAGAAGTCGCCTTTTTTACTACAGGTAGATGGAACGCCGGATATACCTGACACTCGTATATACCGGCATCCTGAAGAGTAACTGCTCGTATCTGAAGTGACCAATCGGTACTCGAATGCATCACGCCAAATCGATTGTCGATCGAGTGGGTACTCGTACCAACGGTTAGTAATCGTCTGCCTCTGTGCTTCACCCACGTGATCTGCAACATCAGACAACAAAGAGGCGAAATAAAACGGATGCGTCTAAGTGACGCGTATATTTTCTATTCGTTCGCGTCTCTTTTTCGTGGAACAAGGTTGAAAGGCGATCGACCGTGTTTCTCCGCAAAGAGAAACTAACGATAATTCAAAGAGGAAAACGCGTTGCGGCGAAACAGGCGTTAAAAGCATTTACGGCATTTACGGTAACAATGTATAGGAAACAGCGTGTATCATATCAGGCAACGAGAGAGGGGAGTAAGCCACGCTCGCATCCAATATCAATTACGAAGGCCATTAGTGTACCCTAATTTCAGGGTAATTTTCATTCCTGACCGTACTGACCACGAAACTTTACTCAATTTGTCCGGCACCCGTCGTCGCGTTGGCGGTCTCCCGTGTTTCGAAAAGTGTTCGCTTCTCCTGTTCCCGTATAATTTGTCACAATTCCCGCGAGGCCGTGTAATTAAGCAAGATCTTTCGCTTAACGTTCAAACGCGAACGATCCGTTGTCCTAAAATAACTGGCGCGGAGTTGAAAAGTTACCCCGTCGAACGGCTCTTTGCACGAACACCGGACGGGGAGGAAAAATGAGCAGCGTAAAATTGACTTTCAAACGGATTGGACAAACCTACCGAGTTACGAACAGTTCGCATTAAACTTGCGAAAGCTTGGGATACATATTACGAATGTATGTTACCTACTCTTCGTAATGCGGGAACCGGTAACGAGTTTCCCCGCGAAACAGACTCAACTCGACCGTAAATATCTGCAAAATATGATACGCATTTGCAAGCTCGCATTTGCGAGTTACGCTTTGACAACGCGGACACATTAGTGGCCGCTTTGATTAATTTAAAGACACCAACCATAATTAACCTTTCACTCGGAATTACGAATCAAACCAGTTCATTAACTAACCCGTTCGTTTTACCCGCTTTTTCGATATCCAAAATGTATACCAAAGATATCTTGAATCGTGTTTACACTCCAACTAGCTGACTCCTTCGAGACTCGAACTTCGAGATTGGAATAATCGGGGTTTCAATCAGGGCCAGACGATCGCTATCAATCGATCTGGCTTCAGTTTGAAGAGCCGCTTCGATGACCCGTTTTAATGCTTATCCCGCGCGCGTAATTACTGCGATTCCATCTAATGCGTTCGTAGGAAACCGGTTTCCAAGGATATGACACTGCGGGAATCAGCCAGTGCCGTAATCCGGGATGTTTCTTGTAATCCTGGATTCCGCCTGAAAAGGATCTATCTTCTCCGAACAGAGTGCACACGCGCCAATCCGATACTTTGCTCCAACTATTTTGCACAGGATTTGCACGAATAGCTGCGTTGCCGTATCGCGTCCATCCAATTAGCCACCGAATGAATCTACTTTTTCCACGTCAAAACAAATCTAATCTTCTTCGTTGTCTCGAACATCTTTTTCTACCTGCGAATTACCCGATACTTCATCGAGCTTCCAGCGAAACCCATTAAACCCACCGTAGGCAAGAAAATCTTTATCTAACTGCAATGTCTTTCAATGAGGAATTTCGGAGCTCATTACTTGTTTTCGACTTTGGGAGTTAGCTCGAAACTCTCCGAATTTTGCCAAGCTGAAGCAAGTTCCCCTCGAATCTTATTTAAGGGCTGAAAAGACCTGAATTTGACAATTTATTTTGGACGAACGACAAACGGAAATTTCTGTTCAGAGGGTTTATTGAACTATGACAAAATAATTTTTTATTGTCATTTTCGTGCAAAATCGGAAGCTTTTGTAAAAACAAAACTAGATAAAAATCCTAGAGTGGTTGTACGCCTTAAAAATTTCTACCGCAATTGCTGGAAACTCTAAATTTGAAGATAAATTTAATAAGAGATGTGTGGGAGTATTTTTCCGAAGCAATGTTCGACAATGAACGTACAATGTACTTGGAGAATTCCGGCTTCACCAATACCGATGAAAACTTAATTGAAAACGACTATCCGCAAGCATCTAGTAGCCTCCTCCATTCTTAATCTCTCGAATGGGAATTACCGTGAGCCGTTCGAGGATATCCTTTCTGCGATCAGCGGATAACGTTATGGTCACGTTCCTTATCTCGGCGAAATCTTAACAAACTGCTTCATTGAGGTAAAAGACTGTTCTAAAGAGCCATTCTTGTCAGTGGAGTATCTCCGAAATTCATCCGGCATTGAATTATATCCCCCCATTATGCAAACACTTTTCGGATAAATGGAGATCCATTTTTATTGGATATACGGATAATGAACGATTCGATACGCGTGCAGATTATTGCCGTTTTAATATTTGTTTGCATCGATGATTATATTTTCAATTTGAAATTTAATAAATTGCCTACAAACAGAGTCGGTAATGATTTAACTCGAATATCGCGATTCTAGCGTGAAATGAAACCGTTCATTCAATTACATCGAAACGATTATCATCGCGGTACCACGTACGCTGCACATAATTCGTCGAGCACATCAAAAGTTCATTCAGTTATCAGAGAAACGGTTTCGAAAGTATTTCCGTAATGAGGAAAGTTTCTCCCGCTGAGAAATCACACACGAACCATGTGCTGCTCGTATTACGATCATCGTAATTTCACCGGTAAGGGAGAACGTTCAAAACGCGAGGGTTAGCGCGCTATGAAAATATTATACTAACCATCATATTACCCTGTTCCGGAAATCGTGGAAATTTCTATCATCCTTACGCGTTTGCGACGAAGGAACGAAATTATAAAGCGGAGGAAACACAACAATTTTTTAAAGTATTTATTGCGCGTAACATACGGGAGAGCGAGTTTAATGAATATTTGTTGAAGAGTATATCCATAAAGCGGTCCTCGCAAAGTGCTGGTCGAAAGAAAATATTTACCCCGAAGAAACGTTTCCCGTATTTACCAGAACTACACCGAGTTATTTTATAACCTCCCGTCTACCTTTTTCCTTCGCGAACAATTGCTGACATACATCTTCCTTTCTGCTTTTTAATCCCGCGTTTAATTCGCGACCAATGTCTTACGTTCTATTTGGACATTGTCAGGATTACGCTGACAAGGTGAAACGCGAAGATATCGTAACGGCAGCCGACAGTTATGATCTTTACTGCACATGGTTCAGCACTTAACGCGTGATTTACCTCCATTGACGTTGCGCCGACCTCTCGTTTCGCGGTTTTCCCGTAAATCGGTGGCTTTAACTGTATACTGAATGGGTAACGACAGATTTATGGAACGATAAAAGTTCCTTTTGCATGCAGCTAAAACTGACACTTGGCAACCGTGACTTCAATCCTTTCCGATATGTCAGCTTCCGAAACTGTTCCAATTTCACCCCTCCCGAATTTTCCAATATTTTGCGACTTGAAAGCTCTTTAATTTTTTAAATTTAATCAACCCTACTTTAATTGTCCCGTAAATTCATAAACCGAGTATAATTGTATGAGAAATTCTTTATAATCTCAACACTTTGTAAAGCAAACTCCCCGACAAAATAGTAGAGAAATAATGGCCTCAGAAGTCTATGAGCAGTTTTCACGGCGAATTCCGCACACAAAATAAAGGACGGTAATAAAGAACTTTTAATCAATATTTATGTGCAGCCGTATAGTGCAGTCGAAACAGAACGTTCATTTAAACTGCCGTCTATATTTTATTGAAAAATAATTCCATTTGTTAACGAATGATTTTAAACGAAAAAGTGATGAACAAATATAAACGGAAAGTAACAAACAAATTTAATAAAAATTTACTCGTATTTAACCGTTGTGCATTTCGTGCGTATTTCAATTAAAACTCGCGAAGAATTTTTGCTGCAAATTGAATAACGAAGATCGATATTCCTGATAAACGAAGTATTCAAAACTGTACGTCTTGTAGCCGCATAAGGACATCGTTTTTAAAGCGTCTATCCGGTAAATCTGTTTCAGTAAAAAGAAAAGTCGGAAAAAGGCACCCGCCGTTGCGATGAAAACGAAGCATTGTTCGGACGATTTAATAAATGAGCTTTATTTCATTATGCTTGGAAGGTTTGTTGCGAAAACAGGCCAGCCCCGGAGTAGTTCGGAAAAAGATCTCAAACTTTACTGGATAACGAATTAAGCTCCGAGCGTGGAGTTTCCGCGTGTTCTCTCAAACGCGAATGGTAGTTCTCTGGAACAACATTAATCAACGTTACTTTGACCGGAACCCACTTAAGGCGCCTGTTCCTGGAAATTCCCTTCGGAAATCCGCCCATGGATTTCTCGTGATCAAGCAAATTATTTCCTACACGTAGCCTCGGGATGTTGTGCTAGACAGACGTATGGATAATGCCTGTCAACCCATTTACTGAGCTCCATAATCGATACCGTTCCGCGAAATAATTCAACGAATCCCCAACTTCCGACTCTGAGATCTAACTTTCTTACAGTTTCATTTTTTTCCTTCTTGTTATTGCAGAATCTCCGTCGACATTGGTTCCACTCGACGCGAATCGACTTTCGAAATTGTGTTTTACAGACAATCCAGAGCTTCCTGTTCTTCCGCAGTTTCTTATTGTGACGTACATCGACGCAAGTTGCTCGCAATTTCGCCAACTTATATTCTTCTACCTGTGACAATTCTGGATGTTTTCAGACTTTGGATATTCAAGTTTTTGAACTTTCAAGCTTATTACAATTAACCCCTTGTATAATCAGATGCAGAATATCAGTTTGATATCATGCAAATAGATGCTCAAATCGTTGGTTGATTTCCATATCTACTTGCAGTGGACAAAATAGGACGACTGATGTATTTGTGTATATCGTATAATATAACAAGATATACTTTTGCAAATTCTATGTATTAGATATTTCTTCTGAAGTATGCATATAGAATTGCAAGTCTGTATGCACAAAAGCAATTATAGAAAATAATGTAAATACGTTTTGATTTTAGTGGGACAAAGTGATAGGACTTTGTTAAAAAAAAATACGATTATTTGATCAAAAATATCTTAAATATTAAATATTAAATGTTGCGTACAACAGACTTGCAATTCTATAGGCACACTTTAGAGGATATATCTAATACATAGAGTTTGTAAAATGTATATACATATCTTGTTATATTAAACGATACAAACAAATACATCAATCGTCCTATTCTATCCGGCACTATAGGTATAGATTTCGAATGGTTCCAAGAATGTGAAGTGTCAGGTAATTTTTATGGGATGTAAGAGAAGAAAAACAGAGACGGTTATATAAGATTTTTTCGAAATTGATATTTCGTAGCCTGAAGCGCGTCCGATTTCTCCCTTCAACAGCCCGCCAGTTTCGTTCTTTTCAACCTTTCTCCGTGGCCTCTTTCGTTCGCCCTCTAAAGCAACACCCCTTGTTTCTGTGTCTCCTCGTACACAAGACACGGATGAATTCATCTTTTATTCATGTTCCTCGTCGCGGTGGAATCCAGCGACGGTATACTCGCTTTCTGACGGTGGACAGAGTGTTTTACATAAGTGGCCATAGGTACCTCCACCGACTGGCTTTCTTCCTAAGGTACTTTCCGCGATGAGAGTGCCTCGCGTTCTTAATGCATAATACGGTGGCCAATAATACGACCGTACAGCCGAAAGAAAATGGACGGAATCGATGATGCGTTCGATCCGGCCATATAGCCGTGGATGTTTCGCGTCATCGACGTTCCACTCCTCCATTATCGAGAAACGCTTCATTTTTCCGTCCTCCCGGGCTATCTTGTCCGCCATATTTTCGATCCCGATATATGTGACACGGTTTGAATTCAATATTATCATTCTTGTTTACGGGTACCTTTCGTAACTGTCTGTAGGGAAGATCAGAAGCTCTCGAAGAATGGGGAGAGTCGTTTATTCGAAACGGCAATCTTGCAATTGCTATTATTCTTTCCTTCCAGCTTGAAAGACTACCAATACGGAATGGGACTTCGGCCTGTAAGTAGATCACGATTTTCCGCTGTTCCCTAGCGGGACAGTTGAAGAGTAAAGAATTCAGCTGTTCTGAAATTCTCATAAATAACCTCCCTCTCGAACAGTATCAACATTGCTTTCCAACTTTATCTTATTCCCATACGTTACAAATTTCGAGGACTCAAGCTTTGAAAATTATAAAGTTTGCAAAATTATATAGTTTGTTCGAAATACCCTTGCATTAAATTTTGGAAGGCTTATTATAAATATAGGTATGTCGAATAAAAATTCGTGGAAAATCCGCTCGACCTGATCTGTTCTATAAAGAAATCGTTCGTCGCCGCGATGTCGAGTGGAATTCGATTCCGATTCCGACATCTGGCTTTAGTCGCCACGGGTATCGAAAGAGACTTTCCTGCTTCTCTCGAGGCTCCGTGTACACAACCTAGATTTTCTGTCGTTCCTTCGTTCCCCTTTTTTTCCCCTCTTCTCCCTCTATTTCTCAAGAAAACTTGAACAGAGCACCTGCTACGGTATCGGTTTAACGTTGGAACCTCGTAAAATATTCTGAAATATTCCTGCGCGTCGAAAACTGGGGACGAAGGGAATACGATCGGAAAAAGAAAGCATCGGAAGCACGTAAAACGAGGAGGGAAAAGAGGAGGTTGGTTGTAGCCACTGGGAAGAAATATATGATTCAAAATTCGAATCAATCGAATGGTTCGCGTTACCCGATATCCATCACGTATATTCCCGTCCGTAAATCATCGAGCACACGTTAGTCTCCAGTTATACAATCGAAATAACACAATAAATATCCGCAGTATCGAGCCATCGTTTATTAAACCCTTATAACGAACGCAATGTCGAAACACCTAATTATATTGGAAATTGCATTTTCAACTTTTTAATTACTCCATAAATACACGAGAGAATCATTTGCGGCAGCGAGCGAGCAATGAAAAGCTATTTATAAAATCGAATGGTTTTTCAGGGTTTCGGGACGCTTAATGTGATTCATCGATTTAAAGAATTTCACGGGCAATCCGCAAAGGGAGAAATATATAAGGGCGAGAAAGAAGGGTGAAAGAATCTCGGTAGGTCGAGGGTGGTGGAAGGCAATTTGTCTAAAAGTTCAGGAAGGCAGAAAGAAAATTAGCGAGAACTGTGGCCGAGCTATTTGTTATCGAGGTGGCAATAATGCTTTCCGGCGCCGTTCCTAGAATTTTCACCCTCGACGATAATTAAACTTAATAGCGTTGCGGTAACGTCGCGATCCGAAAAATTTACCAACCGCACTGCGGAGTTTATGAAATTGATTATCAATTGCAGTCAGAGATACAACGAGTGTTTTTGCCCTTCAACCGTTAACATTTATGCTTTCCGATTAATTAAACGTGATCAAAATATAATTTGGAAGCCACTTAAAAACGCTGCTCTGATCGCAATTCGATTGAAACTTGCAAAGAAATGAAATTTACAACACCCCGGAAAGAACCGCTAAAATAGATTGAAACTTTAAGGGAATCAGCTCAGCCATGTTTTTCGCTGTAATTTATTGAAACTTCGCTTTGTTCTTCTTGATGTTTGCTTTCCCCGACTTGATCTACGTGAACGGTTTACTTCAGAAGACAAGCTGCACCCTTTCATTTCTCTTTTAGACTGCTCTTGCGGCTTTATTCCAGGAAAGCAAAAGGGGCTGTTAGACCGGAAAATGCATTTTTATCGAAACTGAAATGGTAATGAAACGGTAGCTTCAAATAGGATCGTATACTCGAAATCGTCCGGTTTGGTCGATTTTTAAATACAGAAAACCAATTATATATGTTACGGTTTTATTCGGGCTCTTTTTTCCGAACGCATTGCACCCTCCGGCGAACGAAAATTAAATGAAAATCACTTGACGCATTGAACGGAAACGGAAATTGAACGATCGCAAATATGGAAAGAGCGATAGGAAAAAGTGTGGCAATTTGTAAAATGGGAACAGAATAAATGCATGAACCTTATTGGATATCTAATGGAATAAACGACGTATAGCTGTTATAAATATTTTCTTACACATATTGCATCGTAACGATATATTTCCAGTGGCACGGAGTTATGGTAAAAATACAAATTGTATCGTACAGAAAAAGAGAACTTACCGCTCTGGAGCTGTCCTAGATTCCATAAAAAGAGAACAACGTGATCATTTTTAGTAAGGCGGAAAAAACTGTACGCGTTAAGGGGTTGAGCCCGTCAAACCCCGGATAATCTCCGACGCGGTTTTTTCCGTGGTTAAAATTCGGTCGGTGTTTTCATTTTTCTCCCCCGCTGTTTTTCCTACGTTTGAATGTATTCGGAAATTCGTGCACCGATTAAAATATCCGCGGCTGAAAAACGGACGGCGTAGCAGCCTCTGGGCGGTGTCGCGTATCGGCATGAAACTAATTTCAAGCCTGCATGAATTACATCGCGGCAAAACGGGTCGCGTATCTTGGAAATACTTTTCTGGGTCAATCGCCTACGACCTAACCCGTGTTACGTAATGACATTTACGGTTCCAGCTCCAGGATCGGTGATTTTACAGGGTAGATTCGCGGTGCTGCCGCTTTGAGCGAGGACTTCCCTGACGGGCCCCTCGATGACATCTTCGCCCTTGTCCTCCGATCCCTTCAACTCTACCTCGTTCCCGCTGCTTAACGATCGCTGGTGCTCCGCCTGGCTGCCTGCAAAATAAATTCATAGAAACTGATTAGACATTAACAGAACAATTAAACATTTAACCCTTTGTGACTCTCCCTCACCATTTTATTTAATACAATAATTTGAAATAAGCATTTTTTAACTGATTCTATAATACGACACGTGTGATGTGTAAACATAGTGAAACAAACAATAGTGGAAATTATTAGTAGAGGAATAATAACCTCAAAGGAATTCATTTAACTTTTTAACTTAAGTTCAAAAGTTGCTGTTTGCAATTACCTTCAAGTGCAAAGAGTTAATTAATTTTTTAAAGGAAATTAAAAATTAACTGACTGAAAATTAAACGAACATTCACTTCGAAGAACGACTATAATCATTAACCGGTCACACAAAAAATACGGAATCCATAAATTCCTACAAGTTCTGTCAGAGTTTCTTTTTCAGATTTAATCTGCAACGAATTTTATTCTTAAATCTGCTTCGTAAGTTTTAAATACACGGATTACTTGCAATGGACGTCGATATATCCTCTTTCAAATAATAGTTGCGGACGTTGTCAATTATGTCCACGGAAATACTTTTCGGATTGACATGCAAAGAAGAATGGAAGAATAATGTACGTGCTATTTCCAAACGCTGAATCTCCCGTGACACAAATCGGCTTAAATGACCGATTAAATTTGGAATTTAATTTCCTGTCGACCGAAGCCGGGAAGATTCATTTAAGGAACATTTCGTAACCTATTCAGAAACTCGGGGTGGATTTTTCGGGAAGCTAGCAGAGCTCGCGAAGCCCGGTAAACTCGAAGGCCGAACGAAACTACGATTTACCGAGATTAAGGACAGTTTTCACTTGGCTGGAAAACGTACAATAGCATCGGCGATAGTGGGCTCGAACGGAAAGTGAAATTCTCTCTTGCTCCAAGATTAACGCCGTAGCAACAATAACGCGTAACCCCGGTGCAGCGTAAGTGGCTTAAGCGAATAACTTAGTCGCGACAATTACGAAGCATCGTTCTCGACGTTTGCAATTCCCTCGCTATTACGAATCTACTGGCTTTTCGTAGAAATTCACTTCGAAAGCGCTTACCCGTGCGCCACTTCCACCCCCGTACTTACACAACACGTTTCGCTGAGATTTATTTATTTATTTATTATACGGGATAATCTCCCGTGCGTCATTCGCGTATGCGAAGCGACAAAGACATTAAAATACGGACGATGGTTTTTAACTGGTGCAGCTGGGTCACCGCTGCTTTAATTAAGCGATGGAAAATATTCTTCGGCTTAGCGGGGAATTAAAATAGAGAAATATTGAAACAACGATATAATGGACTTGAAATGATACCGAGTATAATTTTCCCGGCACGCGCCTCGAATTAAATATTTATTAGGGCTTTCCGGTACATTTTCACGCGAATTTTCCGTTTCAATAAAATAGTTTCATTAGAACGAGATGCGTGACTCTGCCGCCACATAATAAGATTCGGACGCATGGCCGTTATGTAACGAGCCTGTATTTAGCTGGCGCTCTTGAGTCGTGTACACGACGAAAACGTCGGCAATTAGCACTCGTTAGCCTGCTCGAGGCCCGTTCGACGGTTCGTTAAACCTGACCCGTTTTCCTGAACTCGCGAATCGTCCTGCTCGCAGATATTCCGCGTCACGTGGCGAGCTTGGAAGTCGCATGCGGACGCGGAAACGACGCGCGTGCACGCGATCGTAGATCGACCAACGTGGCGGTTTTCTTGCCGGTTTCTGTACCGACAGTTTGGCCCAGATTCGCCCGGTCCTTTAGCGATTTACTACGTTTTTACCGTGTAATTTTCCCGGGTCGTAAGTCACAAACGCGCCCGTAATTGAAACGATACGTTCTGTCCGACTCACGCGTTTCGATCCTCCGTATACTTTTTAATCAACGAATGGAAGACCCTTTGACTGTTCGCTAAGAATCCAATTTGATTAATCGGAACGATAGCAATGAAATCAAACTCCCTTTTTGACGCGAACGTTTTGTTAGAGCCGGTATTTATTTGCGCGAATAAAATAGTCCAACTAAATTCTATTTATTTGCAGTTATTTGTACTGCTATCTATTTGTATTAAATTCGGTTTCCGACCGGCGACAAAGCGCTATTTCACACGGGCGAGCGATATAGCGTGCTCCATCGCGTTACGAGGCTCTCGTAACTAGAAGCGCTTTTCAGTTTGGCATTATCGCCTTTTTATGAGCTACATAGCGATAACGACGGAGTACCAGCATGTGGGAGGTGCTACGTATTTTGTCGCGGTACGTGTGAACGGACAATGCGCGAGGCTCGATAAACGTCTCGTGCTTCCGCCATTTTATTCGCTAAGAAAACGTCCCCGAAACCTGGAAGTCATTGTCGCTATCGATTTTTACGCTGCATTAGGAAATGACTGCGTTTTCTTTCCGAGAAAAGGTTCGCTGCCTTCTTTTAGAGCTGGAGACAAGTTTTTCTTGTCTAGAAAACAAAAGATTTCCTCCTTTCGTCCAACGATAGTGTAACTTTTGATTAAAAAACTCGGAGTGACTTTTCGTCGAAGTTTGGAGCCCGTGATTGATGAGGACGCATTTAGAAATTAATCGTACCGTATTCTTTCGGAAATCTTGACGTTAATTGAAGAAACGATGTGTCGATTTGTCGTGCGTTTATTTAATACGTCGATGAAGCACAATGATTCCAGATAGTATTGACTGTTATTTATAGCCGGCGATATCGAAGAACGTACGCGTTCGAGAATCGAGTTTATGGTGACCAGCCTCGAATGCATCGACGATAACGTATCACTGCATCGCACAACGATACCCGGCAACCGTAGCATTTTACGAGCTTTAAATCTTTGAAAAGTTCCTCCGCCGTTGATACAACTTCTCGCAGCTTATGCCAAAAATCGTGCCCGTGTTTCGCGAGCAAAGAGCTGTGCAAAGAGCGAAAGAATTACGGGCACTGAAAAATTCATCGTTCGTCGGACAAGTTTGAACGGTTCCAAGTTTCTTAGTAAGGAGAATATAAATAATTGATAACGGCGATAACGAGATATGGAACCAGGACAAAATCGACGCTGCAAATCGAATCACCGATGTAATATTAATTTCGGCTTGTTTTGCAGATTAGCGAATACTTCGTTAAACTTTCCAGTAAAATGTGAGAAGAACTTTATTAAACACCTAACATTTTTGATGGAATATTGCGATGGAAGATAAACAAATTATCTTAAGAATCGATGACTGACAAATTAAAGGTTTTGTTCCAACGGTTCCCTTTAGAAAGTTTCCAGCGTTAACGAGCCGAAAGTTTTTGCGGTCATTGAGAACACGATAACGGATATTACTTGTCAGCCATCACCCAGCACGAATTAAGTGTTTTCTGTGTCAGCCTGTAACGACGAAACACGAATACGGAAGAGCTTCCGTCGTCGGTGTTCTTTCTATTTGACCATGAGTTTACCTATCCTAAAACCACTATCTAAAACAGTTTCTGAAACTGAAACGTTGAAATTTCCCGAATGCACTTGAATTTCCTTTTAATCGACTCAGCGAATTTCAAGTGTAATTTGTGGAACTTACCGGTGAAATGAAGATGTATTTCCAGGAAAATGCCCGCAAGAATCAGCAACGTTCTCATGGTGATAATTAATCTGGTACGTCGTTATTTCAGACGTTCATCGTAGATGTCTGTAACAGAAGAAATACAAACTTGAAATTCTCGTAAAAATGTAATTTGTTAAGTTTCAATTACGTAATTGAAGCGTTATGCTTTCGATAGGTTGATCCACGATATCGACGCAACGGGAATAAAAATGGAGAAACGTATCTTGGCGGCAGATCGAATAGCATAGGTGAATTGGTGGCGTAAAAATAAGATGGTTCTTGTTCCCTGACACACGACCTTCTCTGCAATCGATATAGCTTTAAGTAGGGGGCTATGACCCTTAGACCTTCCTCATTCAACTCCAACCTTTCGCTATAAGTGGCCCACCTTTCTCGAGTATTTTCGACAAGAGAAAGGAGAACGGAAAAATGGATCACAAAAGCTCACGGACAAAAGATTCCGAACATGCTTCGCGTGTTCCGCGATACATCGAGTTTCAAATATTTCTCTTACCCGCAATGTTTTCTGTAACTTCCAATCGTTTCGAAGTACTTACCTTCTGAAGGGATCAACGACTTGGACCATTTGTAGGCACGAGTAATTTAAATTCACTTAATTGTACAAACTTCTGAATTTACAAAAAAAAAGAGACTAAACTATAATGTTGAAACAAATTCATATAGGCGCGCAATGTAAAATAATAGTTTATCAAGGCACACAGTGGCCCGACAATTCTAACACAACCAACGCTTTCGAGAGTCCTTTTGAGAGCACTCTTTGAATATCAGTATCCGCTGATAGCGGATATCCACTAGCAATGCCTACCAACGTAATCTATTTGCGACTAAGCATTTGTCTCTTAATTGCGAAGCAAAATCCACTCGTCGCGGAATATTGTAAACGTCCTCCGTAAAATATACACGGAATAAAGTAGAGCTTGAAATAATAAAATTGTAACGTCGGGAACATTCCGTTATCCGGCCGCAAAGGGTTAATATATTCCTTTGAAACGATCGAATCGATACGACGAGAATTTACGATTCCCTTTCACCCCGACATTTTCTCGATATTTCATAGCGCGTTGTAAAGATTCGTATAATGCACGGTTAATCGTTAATTTATCGTTTTTCGTTAACATCGATGTAAAAACGTAACCGCGTTTTATCGCGAAAATTTAATCGTTGCGGCAAAAAGGAGGACAGAAAATTCATTGCGACGAATAGCTGATGCAACAGCTCGTTGGAGTAGATTCGAGACGCGCAACGCTAACGCGTTGTACACGTTCATCGAGTTAACGCGAAATTAATTGTACAAGCGTCCCTGCTAACGCACGCACGCATAGTCAACAGATCTACAAAGACTCGTTACATTTCCATGCGAAAAAAAACTGGACGAACAGTACTCGCAGGTGCGCTGCATCGGAATTCGACCTCGATTTATCACCTATGTCAGGCACGTTCAACCTTCGGTTTATATCGAGTTTTCGTTTGGTTCTCGATTTTGTCCTACACCCGAAAAGCTTTTTTTATCCTGCGACGTTTCCTTCTTTTTCCGAACGTTCGAAAGTTACAGCCGCGTCGAATTTCATCGGTGTACGCGACGGCTAAACAGATTTTTAATGGCGAATATCCTTTCCAGCGGGAATACTCGTCCAATAAAATAACACCGTGACTAAAGGAAAAATAACAAAATATTGCCGGTTTATCCGCTGTTGCATCATAGCCGTATTTGTTTTTTAACGAAACTGCGTTCCTCTTTCAATTTGTTTACACGTCCGCTGGTTCGAACTTTTCTAAACCATGGGTACAATATTCCCCGAGATTTTTCTGTCGCACGAATAAATGAAAATTTATTTTTCTGCACGAATTAATGAAGTAATTATGTCGCCACGTCGAATCGATAAGCATTCCAAATAACGTTTCGCCTCTCGAAAAGCAGCATCGCCCAATTCCGCCGCGAATCGATAAACTAGGTAGTCGCGATGTAATTCATTTTCAGCTAAAATTCGCTGTATACAGCTCACAATGGGTTCGCCCGTCAACCGTAGTGGACTGCAAAATGGAACGGGAGGAAGGAACGTGGTCCATGGTAATGATTCGAGTCATACGGTTTCATGGCGATAGCCAGCGAGCTTATTTACATACTGATACGAGCATCGTCGCGAAACTTTGTGTAGTCAGCGACGGTATCCTTGCAGAATACTCTCGGCTTAAATTGTGCGTGTACAAAATATGCGAAACGAGAGGTGGGATGATAACGAATGTTAGGGAGGCGCGTGGGGCGAAACGAGGGTCTGGATTACGGTGTAAAGATATAAAGCCAATTCCAGGTTAAACAACCCTCCTCCGATTATTCCCATAATTTAAATAACATACATATTTATACTTGTATCAGATTCAAAATTGATCCTACATTTTTATAATAGCGAAACAAAGTGTTCGAAATAACAAGAGACATTAGGTAACAGTCTAAATGAATACATGGGAGAGTCGGTTTAGCCGGAATACACGGTGTTCCTTTGTTAACCAACGACTGCTTATTTGCCAGCTACCTTCGTGCACTCTGGAACTTGGACCACGTAAATGAAACAAGTTCACTCGAAGGTAAACAGGCAACCCCGGTCGGCCATTTTCTGACTGACGACCGCGAATTCTATTCCGAGCTTGTTGCGAACATCGAAACTCGTATGTTAATGCTTATTTGCCTTGCGACATTTCCATCCTCTTTACGGCGGCGCGAAAAGCGTTCAACTATGAGTAGAACAGTTTATACAACGAGTTGTAACATTATTTGGCTCGCGTGAAACTACACTGCGATTACTCTTCGGAAAGTATCGTGTCACGGACTGAAACGGTGCCGATCGCGTGGATACGAGATTGCGATCGATTATTAAAAGCTTTTCGAATTCGCTTTTGTTCGTGCGAAAAGACGATTACATCAAAATTTATACCTGCAGAAAATGTTCCATATGTGCTGAAATTTTATTGGTAATTTGAACAGGTTGAGGAGTCTGTCAGTGACAGGCCCGATTGCGGTAGATGCAAAGTGACGTTCAAACACTAGAATCGCGAACCTATACGGGAAATTAGGTTACGTTTCAAAATGCATTTGCGAAGAGACTTTTATTCGCGAAGATTGCATCGTAAAGTCCAATCGCGTTATAAATCTCGCGCAACAATTGTTTGTATGGAAAGTACGCTGATAAACATTGACATACGGCAAAACATTTCGCAGAATACTGTTCGCACAAATTTCATTCCCGTCGTAAACGTATCGCCAGGAACGTTTAATATTTTGCGTCGCGATTTTTACGTTTGCATACATAACGTAAATAAATGCATAAATGTTAAAGGTTTTTACTAACATTCGAAACAAGTACAAAGAGGAAATTGAATTAAATAACGTTTGCGCGTCGCTTGCGGAAAAATATGGAAATAAAATTGTAGTTTTCCTCGGAAATCGCCGAATTTGTCCTCTTTTTGCAGCGAGTCACAAGTGTCGATCGATCTACCGATTAATCTGTTGAAACCTTTGGAGCTACCGTCATCGGTTAGGTGGGATTACCTTAATCTCTTGTCCACCCCCAAACGGAGATCCGTATAGTTTTTGTGCGGTTTCCGTGCATTGACAGTATGTTCGCGCTATAGTTACCGCGTCTTCTTTCACGCGGTCTTTTCATCCAGAAATTTTCTGAATCATATTTCTCACGAAACTTTTCTGGAAGCTCCAGCGTTACGTTACATATGGAGAGGGTATTCTAGAAATTCTAAGACATGTTCATTACGATCAGATCAAATTCCAGTTGAGGTCAGCTGTAAATTTTAAGCTTGCAGTGTAAGGAGTTTTTAGTAAATTTATGTTCGTATGCTGGGACTGCTAATGGAATCAGTAATCACCTTCCAACATTTAAAGTACGCCGGCTAACGCGTTTTCCCTGTAAATGTCTTCCTAATAAGCAGCACTATAAGACGCTAATTTCCTAAGAAAATTGCAGTCCGATGGTAAAAACTATTTTCTGCTCCCTTATTTTGTGAAATGTTTTCTGAGAAAATACAGCGGTTTCATGGAACGGTCGACTACGCAACAATGGCGCGGAAAATAAAGGAAACGAGTGACTTCGGCCCACTCGCAGTAAATCAGAAGCGTGTCTTTTAATCGAAATAGACCCAAGAAGTAAAGTATGTAGCCAACCGTTAATCAAGAGTTTATCGATGGTAAGCGAAGGAACTAAGTAAACCTGACAGAAAAGACCATTAATCCCTACTTGATGAACTCTCTAGTCACTTTTCGCGACTTTTGAATTGGAGAACTTTCCGACGGTTCGTCTTTCGTGATTAAACGGACTTCGAATCAAAGACTTTCTTTCTTATTTGTTCGTGTTGTCGCGGACAATCGCGAACGCGTGATATTCGACCGAATTGCATAAATAGAACGGTTGGAGCTGTTTCGAACTGGATCACCAAGTTTCTTAATTCGGGAAAGTGTAGAAAATTCAATTACGATTTAAATTCTTTCGCCAGTTCCGACACTCCAAGACAGATTTCTCGATAACCGATGAATCGAAACTGGAACGAGGCATGGAATAATCATGAACTTATAAAACCGATTAATCCACGGACATTGTCCGACTTAAAAATTTAGGTTAATTTTATTCTAAGATGCATTTTCCATGAAAAAAATCTTTGCACTAATAAACAGACTTCTCAGATATTTTTCGGAATTGTCAAATTTTTACGAAGACTTTGCTTATGAAAGAGACGCTGCAGCTTCGGTGCGGAATTAAGATTAGAAGATAAATAATCGCGCCATTACCCGGGTTTAGATGCACGAATTAACCCAGAAAGTCAAGCAGCGGACCAACGACGAAATTGAAACGATCGTAACTCCGGAGGAAGCAATTTCTTCGCAATCGTTCGTTCCATTCTTCGGTAAGCACATAGCGTTGCGACCACTAGAGTCCCGCTGCATTGCCTTCCTTTACATCCGACCAACGTTCAAAAGAATATTCGTCTTCCTGTGTACGGGAACGACCGGTCGTCTACGTAGAATTCCCTTTGCCATAAGAGACTCGTGCACCGAGGAA